GTATATTGTATGAAAAACATTTCTGACTTGTTGAAGTATAATTCTAATAGACAGTAATGTCACGATTTTTGACTATTTTGTTGATAGTAGATAGAGAGTGCTTAAAGTCGATCCAGGCTAACTCTACTAGAGAACATCCAAATAAGCTAAAAGTTTGGGTTTTATGGTCTCAGACTATGGCGTTTCGAACGCATACAAAAAAAATGGAAAAATTTAAATTCTGACCAGTGCCTCCGTTTCTCAGTGCTCTCAGGAAACCTCTCTTAAATGCTTCTCCTATACATCAGTGTCTCCTGTGAATATGCTCGTATGTGGATTGATCACGTCACACAATCGATCTTCTATCCAATTGTGTCATGAATCAAATTAGAAAAAAACACCTTCATTCAAACTGTAAAAGCCTTTTCTTTCATATTCAAATTGCTTGAAGAACAAATAACTTTTAAAATGCAAATATTCAACGAGAAAAGAAAAAAAATGTTTAGTCGTCGATGAAATTTCATACGAGAAAAATAATCATTTCGAAGACTTGCAGAAAGTGCGAGGAAGCCATAAAATATTATCATTCTAAATGAATCCATCGAAAAATCAGGTGTATTCGTTACAAAATATTCAAAAATTAATACTTGGCAGCATAGTTAGTAATCATAAGTAGGGATGGGTCTTTTAACTTAATTTAATATTAAGTGTTAAGTAAAAGCACTTAACTAAGTCACTTAATTAGATCAAATTAAAAACAAAGACCCATCCTTAGTGGTGACAATATTTACACGGGTGGATGATACTCATTCTTTGCTCTAGCGAAATAAATTCACTGCAACAGGCAACAGAGAAAAAAGACTGAAGCACTATTACCTGTGTGTTCTTATCGTTATCTAGCTAAAGACCTTCATTATTATTGTTCGTATAAACATGAAGAAGATGAAAGAGCAAGTACGTAGCAGTGTACCAAAAGGCACAGTTCTCACTCAATACTTTCTATTTCTCTCGTTTGTATTGACTTCATTCAACATTACTTCCATCACTTTTCTTTCACTTTCGTTTGCCCTTTGTTTATTTCTCTTTTCTTTACACTCGGAATGACTTAATTGTTCGTCATTGCATGCGCGACAAATCTCGCTCTCGACGAGAGTTAAATTTTTCGACATCTACGAGTTTCTCTATGTTGTTTTCTTTTAACGAGGGGCAATACAGAAAGATAAGGTTAATAAAAAGACTCACTCAGTGTGCCGCACAAGTAGATAGGGTGTGGGTGTGTACTGTGGGTGTCGGTGTCGGTGTTCGTGTAGACTCAGAGAATACTCACACTAACACCCACGCCCACACCACCCACACCGACACCCTCATTTTGCATCATACAACATATTTGGTAACTAGTTTAACAAATATGCTCTACCAAATAAGAAAATTTTCGTCTTTAGAGATAATTTTCGCGAAATAAGTCTTTGCAGTTAAATATGATAAGATTCGTTTAGAACATTCGATAGTAATGTTGCCGATTCCATATATGCTTATGCATCAAGCAAAGTTAAGATTTAGATAAAATAACGTATAATTTCAAAAATGTTTTAATTCAAAACACAAAATCTAAAACAAAAAAAAGTATTTGAATTACTTCTAAGAAAATTTTAATGATTACCAAAGAAATTTCTTTCGAATTTGCTTGATAATTTCCATTTCTCATAAAAATACATAATCAATAGTTTTATATTGAATTTTAGTTGTGTATTACTCAATGCATATTCTTTTTGTTTAGTATTATCAGAATAGATAATATTCGTTGTTAATTCTCATATCACTTGATGCTTCATTTGCCTCTCGAAAGTCATTCAAAGATACCGTTTGTTTTATGATTTTTATTCATTTATCACTAATATTGTTCTTGTTAATAATAAAATTTTACAATATGAAATCATAATCATAATCATAATCATTTTTTAATATGAGAAGATTGTTAGATAGAGATACGCTTTCAAAAATCTTGTCAACTTTGAGCATCGATCAACTTACTGTAGTTTCAATTTTATTATGAAGAAAATGAAACGAAACGATTTACCTGTCATCATGTAAACCAAATCAGAATATCATGTTGCATGAGTCATTTATTGAAAAATAGAGAAATTTTAATAAATCATGCTTTCTGCAGTCTATTGGTACTTAAAATAATGACAATAAAAACAAGTACAAATATTATTTAATTCAAGCTATTTGAAATCATATTTAAGCATAAAAGAAAGGAAAAATCACATTACCTTTTAAGTTAGAATCATTCATAATAGTTTGTCAAAAGATGAATGTAAATTTATAGAATCATTTGAACAACACCAAAAATATAACTTTGCAAATCATTTGTATCATTTTCAATATCAAAACTAAAATGAATCAATTTTTGCAATGTATGATTGTATCAGCATAAGAAAAATATGTTGAAGCGTGGAATATAGTTTTTGTATCATTAATCTTACTTGACAAATAAAAATAAATTACTTGATTTTTCGAAATATTTCAATGAATACGTTTTTCTTAATAGTCTACCCGCAAATAGGGATGAATCATCGAATCATTATCAAATCGTCAACATACTAATGCACTAGGTGGTGCTAGTTGTCTGTACATTTTTTCCAAGGTTCTCCTTAACACCAATTGTCACTAGATAGGAGATAGTTGTTGTGATGAACTCGAATTTTTCGGCCTCAGAGCTATTTCTGAGAAAACCATCAACTAACAGAGACCAATCATGAGCCATAGAAGTTTATGACCAATGAGAATAGAGCATAACGGCACTATTGTTATATAATACTCGACGGATTAATCATTATCTCTATATACAATCATGCCATCAGAAGTGTTACATTGTGTTTTATGTGATCGACAGGAACGAGGAGCATGTTCAAAATTTACATCGTTGTAAATGTTGGAAAAATAATATTATCTGTATTGTTTATTGCAAATATAATGTTGATTTCTGTATTAATCAACCAAGTACTTAAGTTCGTATAAAAGTTATTTTATAAATTTACTTTTTTTTTTTCTTAAGAGCATCACATCGTTAACTTCAAATGATTGACTTACAGATGATAGTAGTGATGATATACGTTCAACAGATGCATCTGTATAAAGTGATAGAGTATGTGATAATGATTCATTTATATCACACTCAGACAACCTCTATAATTAGGTCAAAACGCACTGTTTCATACATTTCTTTTTCTACTTTCAGACTGACGACTCGGAATCTATGTGGACAATTATGATCGAACTAGTGATGAACTCAATCTCAACAATTGTGTTATACTTAAGCAGCTGCTGTGCAAGATAATCTATCTCTTCACATACTTAAATATTTTTCTTATAGTTGTACTTATTTTTTTGTTTTTTTTTCTTATAATTGTACTTATTTTTCTTTTTTTGTATTTTTTACTGGAAAAAAAAATATTTGAAATAAATCTAACGATCAACCTGATCGTCGAAGCTCAATATAGTTTTAATTCTACAAAAAATGAAATAGCATAGTGATTACTTATTGTACGGAGCTGTCATATTATGCTATCCGTCAATGTTGCAGCCATTACAGATGATGTACATTCTGATTGGTTAGAATGTGACGATTATTTCTATGTTTAGACATTTTTTTGGTAAAAACTAGAAGCGCAGTTCGATAGAGAATAATTTTCTCGATCGACTGGTATCAATTTTATATTCGGCCCATTCCAAAAACTCAGAGGTCGCTACACGTAGTGCATTTGATATTGATTCGTTGAAATACACATCTTTTTTCTGCTCTGCGGGCATACTATAAATAGTTTAACAAGATCGATTTATCTTTCTTTTGATTAAGCTACTTTTCTTATAAATACTTGATCCACATTAGCTCTAAGAATGTATTATAATTAATAAGATCATACCAAATATAAATTCAAAGAGTAGGTGGGTAAACATTGATAAGTGATATTCACATCCACACCTTAGCAATACTTCATAGTCTTCGAAATTCAATATCTCAAGAAAAAAACATGTATTTGAGATACACTTTTTAAAAATATTCTGATGATTCTAATGTCTGTCAATAGACAAGAATTCAGTAGCTTATCTGCTATATTCACACAACAATATCCAATACTATGCTTGGATCCATATCTATGTTCGCTCTCATGATATACATAATCAGTAAAAGGCGTGTGAGTGTGACTGTGAGTGAGAACAAGAGTAAAATTGACACTCATGCTCAAAACAATGTCATGCATTTGATCATTCAATAAAACCGAAAATATGCGATGAATTTCATCATTAAAAAGAAATCAAAACCACTACAATAGTTTCGTTACTTTTCATGTTTCTATTTTATGAGTTTAGTTTTTTTAAGAAAAAGTAAAGTTATCACATTACTTTTATTTGATTTATTTATTTGAACCATTAAATTTTTATAAGTTTATAAATGAGTGAATTTCTAATTCTTTTTCCATTTCTCAACGAACAAACATATACGAAAATTAACTGAGAGTGTGTATGGGCTGTGCGTGTTGGTATTTTTTTTC